TTAGAGGAACGGAAGTCCTAGAATGCCAGAGGAGACTTAAATTCTGGTGCCATTAATGAAACCCAGGGTTTTTCTTAAGAGATGAGTTATTGGATAACTCAGGTCACTAATATCCCAAGCCTTGGGCTATCTGCATGAACTGGGTGCTCTCAGGGCTTCCTAATAGCAGATAATGTTTTGGCCTTGATCCACATATCCCAGACTCCAGAGTCTGAGGAGTCAATCTTCACAGAACCTCAAGTTGAACCCTTGGAGGTCGGGAGAAGGAAAGCAACATGTCCCCTAAGTCTTCGAGGACAGACTGTCAGGGTTCGCATACAACATTATGATTTATTTGGAAGCTGTGGTGACCGTATTCATACATATTGCCCTTTCTGCATCAGGCCCTGAGCTGTGAACTTTAGACATAACTCCCTCAATCCCCAAAGGAGAAGCTGCTGAGAGAAAGAACTATTTTACGTGGGTCTCTTAGTTAGACTGAAACAGAGGATGCTGTCCCCATGGGTTAAGTTTCACCACCCTTCTCAGTTGGAGAAACAGAGTTTCCCAGGGCACATGGTTGAGAGGTACTGAGTGACAGAACGAGACCCAGAATCTTATTTATCTGTGACTCAGCGTCCTTTTTTCTTCCCTGGGGCCTTCTATGAAGGAAAGAGGACTACTGGGTTTCCTGGGTTCAGCAAACCATGGGCCACAGTGTAAACCAAGAATGACCAAGGACAGGAGACATTCAGGAGAAAGCAATTAAGAAAAGGGAAAAATTGAAAGAAGACCAAGGGCTCTAAAATGGGAGGGTCTGATAGTGCTCTCAGGACAAAGTTCAGGGTTGGGTTTGTTCTGCAGATGCCAGTGGGAAGGGCCTCTGAGCAGGGAAGCTATCCTGTGGTCAGGGCCCTGCCAAAGCTGGGGCCTGGAATTAGGATAAAAGTGAGAGGTGAAGAGAAGGAAAAACAACACAAATTAAAAAAATAACACGGAAGAGGGAAAAGGCTCACTCAGCAGCAATTGTATAAATAGGAACACAAAGCATAGAAAGCAGTTTTTGTAAGAGTTTTATGTGGTTGCCTTGGTCAGAGGGAAGACTAGCAGATGATTAGAAGAGGTACTAACAAGTGTGTATGTGTGAGAGCCTGCAAGTCTGTGTGGTTGTGAGTGAGAATATGGACTGTGCACAAGTGTGTGTACCTATGTGAATGTGAATGCACGTATGTGTGGATGTAGCTGTGAGCACAAGCTATGTGTGTAATCACATGTAATGAGTGTGTATGACTGCATGTGAGTATAGAAACATGTAGTGTGTATTTATGGGTGTGCAAATGTGATCATATGTGTGTGTAATCACATGTAATGAGTGTGTATGACTGCATGTGAGTATAGAAACGTAGTGTGTATTTATGGGTGTGCAAATGTGATCATATGTGTGTGTAATCACATGTAATGTGTATGTATGACTGCATATGAGTATAGAAACATGTAGTGTGTATTTATGGGTGTGCAAATGTGATCATATGTGTGTGTAATCACATGTAATGAGTGTGTATGATTGCATGTGAGTATAGAAACATGTAGTGTGTATTTATGGGTGTGCAAATGTGATCATATGTGTGTGTGATCACATGTAATGCGTGTGTATGACTGCATGTGAGTATAGAAACATGTAGTGTGTATTTATGAGTGTGCAAGTGTGATCATATGTGTGTATATGAGTGACAAACTGCGTGTGTGTGGTATAATCATGTGCACTGTATGTTACTATAAAACTGTGTGTGTGTTTCTGATCACGTGTATGTTTTTGTGTGTAAATACACAAATATCTTGAAGAGATAAAGAGCTCTAAGACTAGTCTAAGGAGCTCTGTTGGCCTAGTGGCAAGAAGCTGCACTGCAATCTCAAAAGCACACAGTTCAAATTCACCAATTAAATGTCTCTGTAAACCCACTGAAGGGTCAGCTATGGGTCAGTGCCAACTTGATGGTACATAATGATAACAATAAGAAGACTAATCAGAAAGGGCCTGGCCATTTCATTCCTTTTGTATATTAATCCTTACATGTCAACAATGGATGTAATTTTGAAAGGAAATAGTCACAGTGAAACCATGCACATACTGTCTTGGTTGCAGAAAGACCTAGAGCCGTGTTCCCTAACGTGGCATTTCCCCTGTCCTTTCTCTCAACCTCAGTTCAATAATAATTTTCTTTGAATGTCTATATTGGTTGATCCTTTCATTCATTTTGGTGCCACATAGAGTTAATTTCAAGAAATTCTCTTCACCCTTTAAGAGTCAATTTTATTCTGTCTCCAAGCTCATGCTGGTTGATGTCTGAAAATGAGAATACAGGATTTCTGAGAATAGGTGACAGACATGTGACAGCCAGGCCTGCTGGGTTGTCTCCAAGGATCACCCCTCCCCCTACAAGGGCTCATGCTGAATAACCATCCTCTTTACTCAGGGGAATGGACCTTTTCAGACAACTCTTCCCAAACTGGAGTAATCTGTGCAGCTCTGTCTAGTTCTTCCATGTGAACACGCTTCTGTGCCCCATTTCCACATCTGTAAAATGAATGCACTTGAATATCATTTCCCAGTGTGTGCCCTGTGAAGCATGTGTCCTCAGAAAAAGGAAACGTTGCATCATTTATCTGCCTAAGTCTCACAATGTCATTTCTAAAGAAATCTGTTACTATAGTGTAAACCAGTTCCCCAAGCTTTTCCAAGTCAGCACTCCACTTTGTACCAAACACCTATTAGGTCGGGCAGCCTTTGAGGTCTCTTCCAGTTCAACAATTTGTGATTCTGGCATCACAATTAGGATGTACTTCCATGGCACTACCTTTCCCCATCACTCTGGAAGCTTTATCTTCAACTTTCTGACTGAGAAGAACTCTCAAACTCCAAGTCATTCATTGCCTTACAGTCAGAGCCAACTCAAGCTAACCCTCCATCGAGTTTCCAAGACTGTAAATCACAGTGGATGCTCTTGCCTGTCTTTCTTCTGCAGTTGTTGTAGTTGTTAAGTACCACTGAGTCCAGCATGACTCACAGCAACCCTAGGAACAACATACTGGAAGCCTGTCCTACCCTGCGCCATCCTCATCATCTCTGCCTATTGCTGCAGTCACTGTATCAATCCATTGCATTGGAGGTTATCTTCTCTTTTGCTGACCCTCCATCTTTCCAACTATGATGTCGCTTTCCAAGGAAGAGCCTATCCTACTGACAAGTCCAAAGTCTGTGAGATAGTGCTTAAACCCGCTAAACACTGGCACTGCCCACAACAATTGTCCCAAACCCTGATTAGCACCTGGGGAGGAAAAGACAGCCCATGGGGTGTGGGAAGTAGAGGCCTAACTTTTGTTTACACCGAATGTTTATCTAAACATAAGCAATAAAACTCTATTTCATATAAATATTTATATTTAATACATATGTATCGGAGAGCTGGAAAGTGACTAGGGGTGATAGAAAAGGAATTGATGCCTTTGAGCTGTGGTGCTGGAGAAGAGTGTTGAATATACCATGGACTGCTAGGAGAGCAAACAGGTTCATCCTAGAGAGGGTGAAACCGGGCTGCTCCTTGGAAGCAAGGATTCTGAAGCTTCGTCTGACATACCTTGGGCATGTTGCAAGGAGGGACCAGTCCTTGGAGAGGGACCTCATGTTTGGGAGGGCGGAGGGACGGTGCAGGAGAGGAACACCCTCGATGAGATGGATTGATTCTGTGATTGGGGAAGTGGGAGCAGGTATATCAGAGACAATGAGGTTGGCACAGGATAGAGCAGAGTTTAGGGCTCTTATCCATAGGGTGGCTATGAGTCAACAAGCGACTCGACGGCACATAACAACAACATAATTTATTAATAAGTATTCTTGGAGATATAGTTTAAAAAGTTTTCACTAACAGTAATGCAGGATTACAAATATTTAGAGAACACTGACTAGAAAACGTGGCTAAAGGAAATAGATGGTAGCATCTCCCACATGATGCTTACATCTTAGCTGTTTGTTCTTTTCTTATCTTCAAGTATTCATAGTTTTTGTCCACACCAACCCTGGGGTATTATGTTTGTATTTTTAACTGGAGTATCATGTTTTGTACCTCAGTTTAAAATAAAACAATGTCACTAAGAAAACTTGATTCCTAGTAATAATGTCTTTGGGCAGAAAGTCTGAGCCTAACCAATATTTCTTCAAAATATTACCATTACATAATTAAATAGATAGATAGATAGATAGATAGATAGATAGATAGATAGATAGAGGTAGATATTTCTGATTATCTGACTAACTATAAATAACATTTAAGATTCAAATCTGTAAAATAAATTCAGTACAATCATAATATCGTTCCAAATAAAATATTTAAGGAGAGCAACTCCAGTTACCATTTTCCTTAATAGTTCAAGTTAAAGTACTATATTTAGTTCTCTAAAAAAAAAAATACTTGGGGGTAATCATGTATAAGAGGATGTGATGTGGCCATCTATCATCCCTCTGGAGCATCTAGGTCATGCAAACAGGCGCTTGACTACCAGTCCAGAAGCTGGTGGCTCAGACATACTCTGAGGTATCTTAGGCTTGGGAACCAGTTTCTGAAAGGGTACAGTCGGTGAAAACTCTATGGATCCAGTTCTCCTCTAACACACCTGGGATCATCATGACTTGGGATCAACAACTAATGAGAATACAAAATTTTAAAAATCAAAGCAGTACTCCTGTAACTTTACAGAGAAATTCCACCACCAGACTTTCTTCACTGACTTAGAGCAAATTGCTTTGGCTGAACTTGGGCATCAGAATGAGTCTCACCCTCACCCGGCTGTTCTGACACAGTGATGTGTCTGTGCTCTGCAAGAAGCTATTCTCAGAGAGGTGGAGGCTACTCACCTTATCGCCATACTGGCACTCCAGGTAAACCCCCACCCAACCCTCTTGGGACCTATCTCACTGGGCACAGCTGTGAGCCGGACCCTCCCGCCTTTCCAACCCATGACTTTACCTTGGCTTGGGCATTTCAAGTTGCCCTGTCCATCTCCTCCGCCTGGGCTTTCTGCTTTCCACAAGAATCATCAGGCAAAACAAGAACAAAATGAGTCTTGTAAAATAAGGCATTTTGTGGATGTCTGTGATGCAAGCAGCTGCTTTCCACTCGTAACCTGCGGTGGGGCGAATCCCCCCTGGCTTAACCATTGATTCTATCTGCTGCCTCGTGAGGGCACTTCTCAGCAGGACTGTGATGACATGGCTAGCAAGCCTGATTGTCCCAATTTAATATCTGATACTGATGCTAGCCACACTACCACCACAGTCATGACACAGTCACCAAGGCTTTTCCCTCCCTGCTGCCTAGTGATTGGCTATTAGTCAAGAAATTTGTCCTCCTGTTAAACTGTGCTTCTGCTGAGTCCTAGAACAGCTTTGACTAAAACTGTCACATAAAAAAAAATTTAAATCTCTTGAACATGCCAGCTTTTTGCTGAGATCATTAATCCTTCTCTCTGGCTGTGTAAAACCGATCTGTCACATCCACCAGGGAGTCAGCTTGGATTCTGAGTGGATTTGCAGGGAAGACTCCATGGGCATGGAGATGAGTGCATCAATGTGTCCAGCAATTGAGCCAACGATCTGTTTGTTTCCACATGGGGACTTTACTTCTTGATCTAAAAGACAGTGAAGGACGCGATATACATCTTTGCTGTAAAGTGTGTGTGTTTGTGTGTGTGTGTGTGTGTGTGTGTGTAAGAGAAAGAACACAGCTGTAACTCATTTGATTGGAAGGAAAGTACAAATCAAAGGAGAAGTCATGGTTATGTAAGTTCTTCTTCCTATCAGGAATATTAGACTGACTTTGGTCTTTCACCCTAAAATATATATGGTCAAACATCCTAAATTGAGATTGACATATCACATATCCTGTGATAAGGCATGATGTACATTGTTGTTGTTGTTATGTGCCATCGAGTCGTTTCCGACTCATAGCGACCCTATGCACAACAGCTCTAAACCCTGCTCTATCCTGCGCCAACCGCACCGCCTCTGACACACCCATCATTGTAAAAATACATGTTTCATTTCCTGAGCAGAATAAAATGTATTTGAAAACTACTTATTGCTTGCCTACTAAGTCCTAGGAGTAGGAGATGGTAAACTTCTCTTCCTGTATTTATAGTGAAACATAGGAGAGATAGAGATGAGGGTCAGGAGAAAGGATGACCAGAAATGAGACAGAATGTGGGTTATATTATAGAGGAAAGAATCAAAAGTGCCGCTTGATTTAAGTAAAATGGAATGTCATGATTTACTTCAGCAAGAGAGGACCTTAAACATAATGGATAAGACAGTGATTACAACAATGGGCTTGAGCATGAGGAGATTGTGAGGATGGTACAGGACGGGGCAAGGTTTCAGTGTGTTGTTCATAGAATCAACTCCTTTCAGTGTGTTGTTCATGGCATCAACTCGCAGCCACCTAACAACAAATGGGAGCGGTTGGAAGGTTAGACACATAGAGAGGTTGCAATAACAAAGAGGATGACGTCCTGCCATAAGGGAAGGAGCAGGAGTAGGGGGCGGAGGGAACAAGCCCAGAGGAATAGTCACATTCAACGTATTTTTGAAGTGAAATATATGTGGTGACTAAATAAAGTAGGAGGTGAAAAAGAAGCCAACTATGATATGAACGATTGCAGTTTGGAGATCTATTGATGGTACAGATAACCATTAGAAATTAATGAGTTTGAAAGAGAGATAAACTAAGCTTTGAACTTGTGGAGTTTAAGGTGCCATGACAGGAAGCTAGAGATTAAGCCTTGAGCTCAGGAGAAATGTGTGATGTTCGAATGGATTGGGAGTCCTTTCTGTATGGATAATAATTTGACCTCAGAAAGTGGTGAAATCTTCTGGGTAAAAGAAGAGGTCACAGGCCGAGCACAGATTCTGGAGAATCTACACTCTTAAAGGACAAATGAGGCATTCAGAACAAAAGCGTCAAAGAATTGTTGTTGTTATATGCTGTCAGGTTGCTTGTGACTCATAGCAACCCTATGTACAACAGCCCTAAACTCTGCTCTTTCCAGTGCCAATCGCACTGTCTCTGACACTCCCATCCCGATTACCCCAGTCACTGAATCAATCCACCTCATAGAGGGCCTTCCTCTCCTGCGCT